TATATATATATATATATATATATATACACGATGAAAATATGTTTTACAATTCATTTTTTCGTTGAAAACATAAATTCAACTCTTTTTTTTTACATTGATTTGATACCCATGAATAAAATCATCATGTAGAAGTATTTATCCAAGAGTTGATGCATCTTTATAGCTATACTATTGTAGCATGTATATTCGACCCCTCTGTTTCTATGAGTGTATTTGAAATTTGATACGTCGCGTACGGTAACGCCCCCTAGTGGCACAGCGGCATGTCTGCGGACTTACAACGCTAGAAACCTGGTTTCGATACCCGTGGTGGGCAGAGCACAGATATCCCATTGTGTAGCTTTGTGCTTAACTTCAAACAAACAAACAAGCTATGATAACAGTACATATGAATCAGACTGTTTAAATTGTTACATTTAAATCACGGTTGTTTTGGAACTCGATAAGTTAGAGCTTTCCAGGCGCGTGACTGAAACAATAGACGTGTTACATAGTGGCCAAGCCTTGTGTGTATTTAATACTTCTTTTTTTTTTCTCGCGAAATTAGGACACTTTTATCAAAATTGAAAATAGTCTTCTTTGTATGACTTTGGAGGTTTTTTTTTTCATACTTTCGATACTTTTCAAACAAATAATGAAGAAACCTACTTAAAGATGTATGTCTGACCAGAATACACTGTTGGCTAATTAACGTACACAACTATCTATTAGCGTTTCGCCTGAATACACTGTTGGTTCATTAACGTACTTAACCCTTTATTATCGTTTCGGACAGAGTACACTGTTGGCTGATTAATATAAGAAACCATCTTTTAACGTTTCGGCCAAAATACATTTCTGGCTGATTAATGTACGAAACCATCTCTTAGCATTTACTGAACGTAAACAAATTTTTATTTTTTTGCATCCAAACCAACCATTATTATGTGATTTAAACTTGTAAAAAAAATTGTTTCGGAAATATTGCAGAAACTAGATATTTCATGGAACATCAAACGCGTCATTCAAGGTCAGTGTGAGTTAGGAAGTAATGTACAAAGCTCTAAACAAGATGTGATAATACAATACAGCTGAAAACCTTGGTCCCGGAATTTCCATGGAGTGGTATAAAGTTTTGTAGAATCTATTTCCTGATCTAAGCTCATTCAAAAGGTTCATAGTATGCGTTTTTTTTCCCTCATGTTTATAAAAAATATGGCTAACTTCAGCTGGCGTACACATGAAAAACAATGTTAATTTTTAAATTTATTCCACATTTTATAAATAATTTGTCGTTATAACAATTCATAGTGTGGATATAGATGTTAGTTTTATTTAATTCACACTGCAGAAGCGTGTCATGTTGGTTGGAATGTTTTGTGTACAAGTATAGAAAAAAATTAAAATATTTTTGATATTGTAAGACCTTTTGGAATTAAACTTGGAGGCCAATTTCTTTACCATAACAAATATTATTTTTATGCATAGTTGAAGTTTGTAGTTGCTTTTAACTACAGAAGGCATATTACAATAAGTTAAGACATTGCCACTAGGGGTGGCATATTAGCCTCAGAGTGTAAAAATTGACTAACGAAAAGTAACAAGTATATCAGCTATAGAATTGAAGTAGACGTTGTGGAAAACAAATGCTGCTGGTTTTTATTAATTCATTACTAAGGACTTTATAAAAAATTCTAAATTTATGATATCTCAAGGGCAATAGTGAATTCATATAAAGCACAAATAGTGCTTTACATTGAATTATGGCTCCATGATAAAGAAGTTATATCATTTTTAGTGGTTGAATGATTCTGTTTTACCATGTGCCTGGTGAATAGGTTTGCCAGCTTAGGACTTTTTTGTAAGGGGTCGTCCATAAAAGACGGCACAAAATGTAAACCACTTTTTGACCTTCTCTTGTTACACTTGGTCATATGGATGGCCTGTAACTGAAGTAAAGGAACTCTTTGACAACAGCTGGTAGTGAAACATAAACACATTTTATCTCTAAGTAGGACTTACAGTAGGACTGTTTGCAACCCTACTGGTGAAGCTAGAAGAGTACTTAACAGGGCACACAGTTTCTTCATATCAAATTGAACCCAAAAGACTAGCTTTTACAATGTGTAATTAAATGATTTTTTTAACTTCTAAAAGTTTGTTATATGGTGGCTGCCATGTTGTTGTTTACATCTGAAAACAGCATAGATACATAATTATATGCAACTCATTACAGCAGCCTCACAGGCATTTGAAGTATGGTATTCAAAAATATTATAATTATCTTTTTATAAATTATATTGTATAACTTCATCCTCTAATATGAGACTATTTTATCACTACTTGAAAACAAACAAAAGTATATTTGGGTGAACAGTGCTTAAATTTGTACCAAGCATGCCTGATTTTGTTTCATGTACTGGTGGTTCTGCCATGTTATCCTCATTAAAAGAAATGAACATTTTTTTTTTAGTAATCTGAGAGCAATTAATAAGCACATCTGGCTCAGGACTGTTTATAGAAATGATCCCTGGGGCATTGTTTTAAACCTATCATTAATTTGTTACCAGTTATTCCAAAGTTTGAATAATCTGAGTGCATTTATATGCATAATTGATCATATTGAATTCAGAAGTACTAATCTTATAATAGAATTTGCTGTTTGAATCTTAGCGTATAAGTCATAAAATAGGTTGGGCATGGCCTATTGGGTTGCAGCCCATTACTGCAAAAAAGCACTTTACACTTTTTGGCTGTGAGTGATATATAATATTCATGATCAAATGTCAATTTTTGTTCAGACAAGAATAACCCAAGAGTTGGCGATGTGTGCTGATGTTAAGATGGCATCTTTCGAGTTTCTAGAGATAGCTATGCGAAGCTTTACATGAAAGTATGAAACATATAAGTTAGAAAACAAGAGTTCAGAAGTTTCACAAAACTCTGCTTTCTAATTTGTTTATTTCATAATTTTTGTTTGATTTTAATGGGCATATTTTGAGGTGGTGAGACATGCGGGATATCTAAGGTAGCAATATAACTTCATGGAAAAGTTGTATCATGTAAGTTATATTTCATATACATGCAAGTCATTTTTACAACTTATTAATAGAGTGGCTATGAAACACCATATTTAATTTCTTTTTATAGATCTAAGCTAATGAAAAGACCACATTTATCTTTTGTAGCAAAATGAACTTGTTTGTTTTATGTAAAAGAAAAACTGTTTAGAATTATTTGAAGTTCTGTAGTGTATTTGTTTATTTTGCAACAACCAATCAATTTACAAAAATGATAGTTTTTTATATGAAGCCTATTTCTTTGTTTTACTTGTGAATAGGAATATGTGAGAATATTTTATGAGAGTATGTTTTAATTTGTGCATTCTAAATGTATTGTGTGGAATACCACAAAACAGGCATGAATGTTTTTATAAGCTTATTTATTGTCCAGGAAGAAAACACCAATGAAAACTATGAAATAATATATGTTTTAAACCTCTTTATAAAGAAAGTAGACCAAGGATTGTTTTCATTATTCTTACCTGACTTATTCTCTGATGTTATTAGGTGATACCCAAGTTGATGTAGATCTACCATCAGTTCCAGACCTGAGTGATATTAGATCTCGCTTTGAATCCCCTCAGGAAGAAATTCATTATGCTTCTACCACAGACAAGTATTCTCTTCAAAGATCAGAAAGTGTTATGCAGCGTTTAGCCAAGTAAGTTGTTAGCATTGCAGAACTGTTTTGTTTAATTAAACAGTCCTTTTTGTGTATTTTTTCTTGTTTGCTTTTTAGTGTAGTTTAGGATCATGCATTCCAAATAGCTATTTTTAGTTACAGAATATGCTTAAATGGTTAGAATTATTTTGTTTATGTCGAACTAGCATGTGTTTGGTAAATATGATACATTGAAATTTCTACAATATCAAGATAGCACTATTTTATCATTCACAGGTGTGTCACCTTATCTCTGTATGTAACTATCAGCACAGCTACAATATTTGGAAATTCCTAAATTGTAACAAAGTGCTTAGTAATGTAACCAGCACTATTGGTTTAAAATCAGTTTATGATGTTTTAAAGAAAACTGTAATTTTATTATTTGAATGCTAACAGGGTTTGATAAAATTATTAACTTTTAAAAACATTTGATTCTTGAAATTCTTTATTATATTAGTAATGAAATCACTTACTAGAAACATCGACAGTAATTATGGTAATAGTGATTAGGATGTCAAGCTGTGGATCTGAGGATTCATGGTTTGCATCCTGTTTCCACACAAATGCATTCCACACTGTGGCCATGGGTGCACTGTAAGAGTGATGGTCAAACTTCTTTATTTTGTTAAACAAGAGCAGCCCAAGTGTTGAAGGTATTTAACTGTTGATTAGCTGCCTTCCATTTAGTTTATCATTTTAAAATTAGGAATGGCTATGCTGTAATAGTCCCTGTGCTGAGCTTTGTGTAAAAAATACTAAAAAAAAAACAATTATAGAAGTAATTAATTGTAGGTTGTATCTAAAAGGCAATGTTTTGAGTCATTGCATTAGTTCTCCATCTAAATGTTTAATATTCTTGAAAAAAATTAATGCATTTTGGTCAAAAATACATATCTAACACTTTAAACATTAATTTCATTCAAATTTACTTACTATGTTTTGCTGTTTTATAATTAAGATATTATTACCACTGGAGAATGATATACCAGTAGAAATTCAAACTCATGCTTAGCATACTTCAGCCTAGGCATTTTGAGAATGTTGTGAATGTCTTTATGATGCAATTTTTTTTATCTTTGATTTTAATCTTAGGTATCAGTCTGCTGTTTCTGGTCAAGAGAATGGAGAAATGTCCAGCTCTGGTGAAGATGAGGATGATGATTCTTCTGTCGTTAGGGGAAGCAAGAAAAAAGAAAAGGTGTTTATTTTGTAATATGGTTTAAAATTTTTTTTTTCAAGTTAGAGAGAAGAAAAGTCAGCAAGTAAACATTCTTTCACAAATCTTTCATGACATTTTTATGATACTTGGCAGTATCTAAATATTTGAATGTACAGCCATTGAATCCACTAGAACGGAGAATTAGGACATGAAATAAAAGCATGTTTATGACTGACTATAAAAAATATATAACCAGTTTTATTGATGGTAGTTGAGTTGTTTCTGAAAATATAGTAGCAATGTTATCAGATTAAGTTATCAATAATACTTGGATTTTGTTAATACTTACATTAAATACTAGTGATGCATTGTTGATCTTACACTAGAACTGAAAAAAATATGATACATGTATATAGGAAAGTACATGTCAGCTAACAAGAAACTGTGATGCAGTGGTTTTTGTGAAATTTGAGATGCATCTGTTTTTTTTAGAATTTTTTTTGTTTTGATAAACTATCTGATGAATTATATAATGATGAGAAATTTATTGAAAGCTACTAATATATTTGGGAAAGAATTTTTAAAAAATGTTTTACTGTCATAATAAATGATCAATGGGAAAGCATTAATACATAACTACTAAACCTCGAACTTATGAAATAGGCATTATGTAAAATCGTTTAATTTGACAAATTTTTTTTAATATGTATAACGTCACAGAACCTCCTTCACCCCAAAAAAACCTTAATAAAATATTATAATTTCAATATTTTTTTAATCTCCCCTTTACATTTTTGGAGATTGTATGGTATACAATGGTCTGATATTATTGTAGATTGTAATAATAATATAATTAATTCATTGTGCTGAATGGTGTACTCTCTATATCCAGGTAAAGTTTGTTGAGATGTCTAATTTAAAGTCTCGGTGGGAGAATGGCAAGGTTGGCAAGCATGAAGGAAGAGGTGTGGACAGAAGGGAGGAACTCTCTAAACTAAGACAGAGAATATGTCTTGGTAGATCTGAGTCAATGCGTGCAGTTTATGAACGTGCTTGTAAGGAAGCTGAAAATAATATTCCTTCAAAAACTGAATCCATTAACTTGGGCAGAGAAGTAAAAGCTGTTAGCCTCAAGGAAAGGTTTGAAAAAGGTGATGTAGAAAACGAATTGGAACTAGAGAAACTTGAAAAAGCCCGTCGGGAAAAGGAAGATGATCTTAGTGTCTTCAGTGAAGCAGGTATGTTGAAAGCACTGCTTTTAGTGCTACCTTCCTGATCTTTTCAAGCTAAAGAAAAATTCGTCTTGAATAATTCCTGATGATATAAGCTTTTTCTAGTTAAAAAAAAATACCTTGAACAATAAAACATAAATCATAACATAGGCAGTATCTGAGTCAAATAAACATTGTTCTTTTCATTGCTTCTGTGGATGTTCAGTATTGTATTAACCAACATATTTTCAAAAGTCTTTGAAGCTGCTACTACTGTAACATAAAGGTTTGAAAATATTGAAACAGATATTTTTTTGTTATTATGGAGACATAATGAAGACTTAATGTTCAGTGATCAATGTAAAGAATTATCTATATATATAATAGCCAAATGTCTGTCTCCTGAATGGTTAATGGTAGAAAAATTTATATCAAAAATGCATATTTTCAAGAATACATTATAGGAACATTATTCATTTTTTGCAATTCCTAATACATCATTTTGATATCAACATCGACATGTCAGTTTTGATAATGTTGAACAGTCAGTCTGAGAAAAACTTGTTAGAAAAACAAAAATGTTTCTTTTTGTAAGGGAATTTCAGGAAAAAAGTTTGAGACTTCCATTGATTGATTGACAAATATGTTTTGAAGATAGGAGCATGAATGGAAATAATGCATAAAAAGAGGAATGTGTTTGAGCATATATTTGTGGTTGTTCAGTTTATATATATATATATATGAATTTTTTTTAATCTTTTTTTATGTCAGTATTATACACATGTAGGACTTTATTGTACCATGTTGAATAAATTGATTTGAATGGAAATTAATATCTCTTATTTGACACTTCTAATAAAAATGACAACTGTCAAAAAGTGCTCACTTTGGTAGTGGTCCTTTATTGCACTCAGTAGAATGACAAAGAATGGTGGCATCCAGTGGAAAAAAATCCCCATGGCAACATAGTGAACTTGAGAGTTCTGTTATGTTGGATGCACCCATTGCATTGAAACCCAAACATTTTTGCCAACAATGCATTGAAGCCAGTCTCTTTTGCTTAAAAAACAAATGCAGTGCAATTTTCCTTATTGAAATAACAAAAGACATTATACAATCATATTGCATGTATACTATGATTCAAGGCATTGGGTTGATGTACAATTTTTATTTATTCATCACTGTTTTTAGGAAAATTACTGTTAATTGTTTCCACAGGCATCTGTTAGTGTATTATATTGTTAAACTCATTCTAACTACTGTTACAGCACTATTATGTTTATTGTTGAAATGAATGGGTTTTACAAGAAATGCTATTATAACCTGCGTATTTATGAATCACATTTTAATTTTGCATACAATGATTCAATAAATAAATCTTCAATAAATCTTCCATTTTAAACGACATTCACTGGCCTGAGAATCAGAGAGCAAAGTCCTAATGTTATGGCAATATGCTGTAATATTATATTTGATGGTAATTTATGGTGTGGAGCTCAACATGGTTTTTATGATATCTTAAAGGAATATTATTTGTTAAACATTTGAAAACTCTTTTTATTTATATTTTTGAGTTATCTATGATATAAAATTGCTTCAGTGGCAGACAGGAAATAATGTATCTTAGTTTTCCATAATATGAAGCAAAAGGAGCAGTAAAAATATTGAAATTATTATTTTCAAGTCATTTCTTTTGTATATAAAGGTTACTAGATAATGTTTAAAATTACTGAAATTAAGATCAAATGATTATCTTCCTGCCTATTCAGTATTACATTTAGTTAAAAAACTTAAATTTTGGTTACAGGTACTGCAGCTGAAGCAAGAACACTTTTCAAGCAAATTGATGCAACCACTTCAAATGTTTCTTTATCATCAAACAAGTCATCATACTATGATCGCTGTGGGGCCAGAGAAACTGTCAGTCAGTCTTCTGCTAGTGATGGTGATGCTACCAAGTTTACCGATCCTGTTTTTAGGGATGATATTGAAATTGATTCTTTGCAGGTGGCACAACGATTCAAATTCTTTGAAAACTATAAAAATGAACCAACAGAAAGGAAAGAATTTCAGATTACCCCTCCAAGAGAAATTAAGAAAGATCAGTCTACTGAAAGAGAAATTATCCAAGATCCAAATGTAGTACGATCATCTGATACTGCAGATGAAGGTCTTATTACAGACACAACTAAGAAAATGCTTCATAAGTTCAAGAAGTTAGAAAATCAACCTGATGTCCAAGTCAAACGCAAACCAGTAAAGCGTATCACTCCACCAAGAGAGTACACTGCAGTTAACAATGAAAATGAGTCATCACCAGAACCAGAACGAGATCCAAACATTATTCGTTGTAGTTACAAAACTGAAGATGAAATGACATGGGAGATTGATAAAGCCAAGAGTCTTCGTGCCAAATTTGAACACTGGCAACCTGAGGTTGAACAAGAAAACACCAAAAATGAAGAAGAAGAATGCATGCCAGAAACAGATATTGCCAAGAACTTACGAGCCAAGTTTGAAGCTATCCGTGAAGAAAGTATGAAACCTAAAGAAAAACCAAAACCTAGAGTGAAGAGATTTGTTGTAAGTACTTTATAATTCCCATGTGCAATTAGTAATAATTTTGTTTTACCTAAAATTTAAAATTATTAATTGCTAAACTTAGCACATCAAGATACCATTATGAAGGCACTGAGTATTCCAGTTTTGTGGTTTTAACCGAAATCTAAAATAGAATTTATTAAAAGTGATAGATTCTTGTCCCAACCACTGACCAGAAATATAGATAGTATTTTGAGAATATTTGTAGATGTGGTAAGGCTTTCTGTTACTATTTTGTTTGGGCAGTGGATACTGTTGATATTGTAGAAGGCAGTTTAATTTGAAAAATATAATGCATTTTAGTGTTTTTTAAACTAGTGTTAAAATCTTAAAACTTAAGTATGTTTTGTTATACACTTTTTGTTTATACATGCTTTTTTGTGTGCATATAACTTAAAGATGATGTGCAAAAGGAATTTTAGCTCTGTGTGAGTTAGACCTTAGACAAGTCTTATTTGTTTGCTTGACCCTAGTAACATTTCTTCTAGGTTTATGAGGTTTTTCTGCATACAGATGCATGAGGAGTATATATTATATTGTTCATAACAATGTGGCTTTTGAGAACAATATACGGTTATATCATGTATGTTTATCAAACTTTATGAATGAAAATTATGGAATGTTATAACATTTTCCTTGTTTGGTGTGTTTTTAAAAAAAAAATCTGTCCACTTTACCAGATTATTTTTCAATAGAGAAACTGGTATTTGAAAGGTGATTACACAATAGATAACTTTTTTATAGCCTTCACAGAACAATACTATACATATTGTTCTTCATATTTAAATTTGTCATATATTGTTGCTAGAAGGAGAATTACTAGTAAATGTGTAACACTTCATAAATTACTTTACTGTGCTTTTTTTTTGTAATTGAGAAAAGGATGCTATATTTCATCATCATTTTTCATTAACTAAGGAACATCCTTTTTCAATTTTGAAGCTAAATAATGTGTGAAAAGTGTTTTTGATCCCAGGTATATTAATGATAGTAGTTTAGTTTTTAATCACTATAAAGATTACACCCATTTTTCTAACCTTTGTGTCTTAACAAGCTTACACGTGAGTGCTACTTGTATTGTGTAATTTGTTACCATTTTTATTTTGGGGGAATGATTTACGTAAATATGACTGTATACAGTATTTAATATAAATTGTTGCTGTCATGTCATGAAGAAGTTTTAGGCACAAAAACTAGGAAACATTAAATGTTTTCTATAAGTGTTTGGTAAAGATAAATGGAAGTGTCTTATAAATTAAGATTTTATGAATCAGTCTTGTTCATATTGTCTCATTAATTAGAGTGCACATGTACTATGAACTTGTTTTAAGTACTTTTTTGTAGTGAAAAAATTATTAAATACCAATTATGACAGTTCTAGTTGATTGGAGTTTACACTTTATGGTACATGTATATATATATATTATAATGTAAAGCTAAGTGCTTGTATTAAGTTCTAGAGAATGTTTGAATTTTGACCACATTTCACATGAGGTTTCAAACACATACTTGAAATACTTGCATTGGTTCATAACATTTCAATATATAGTCTTAACATATCAATTTGTTTTCTATATTCCTTAAATACAATATATAACATCTTGTGGTTTAATAAGGTTTAAGTGAGTGGTATAGTTTTTTCATTGAATTATAAATTTACCTCATCTTTAGTTCATACTAATACAGTTTTGGAAATTAACGATTCTGTTAACCTTAAATTGTAATAACAAGTTTTATTGATACTTGATATCACACAGATCTTCAGTATATTTCTATCAAATTTGGATAAGCTCGATCTTTATTAATACTCAACTCAGACAAGCATTTATAATCTTTTTTCCATAATTTTGTTAATACAGCAATAGACCAAAGGAAAAACAGTAATCTCATCTTCACTCTTTAGAATCAAATCATCAAGGCTATATTTGAGATTTTATCATAGGTGTTCTTTATAAGAAGAGTTATTTTGTTACTTAAACTAATTGATACTAATTCAGAATACTAATACTCTTTAGAATCAAATCATAGAGGCTATATTTGAGATTTTATCAGATGTGTTCTTTATAAGAAGAGTTATTTTGTTACTTAAACCAGTTGATACTAATACATTGTATATATTCAGTTGTGTTTATTCTCATGCATATATAATCCATGTTCACATTTATTATAGACAAAACAAGTTCACCAGTTAAGTTTTCTTCACATTTGTATAGCTTGGGATGAGCATACTGTATATATATAATAATAGTTCATGCTTTTGGTCAGTCATACAGTTCTAGTTAAACTATATATTTGTAATTACATAAATGGGTCACAGCTGTGCTTAAACTAATATATCATGGCAAAAACGGATAAAAACCCTATAACCCGAGCACTTTCGAAAGGTGGACCTTTTTTTCTTCAGAGGCAAACTGAAATTCCCAGTTTGTCCCTGAAGAAAAAAGGTCCACTTTTCAAAAGTGCTCAGGTTATAGGGTTTTTATCATTTTGTATCAAGACTTATTGAACATACGTGTTTTCCTGGCATCATGAATATATCGTGGCACAGTAATTATTATTGTTTTCTTTTGTAGTTATTTATCCATCGTACGTTTTTCAGAGTATTACACTGTTTTTGTTTTTATAAATTGCTAAATATTTCTGTGGTCATAGCTACATGCACCCTTAAGACAGTGGGCTTAAGAAAATATTCTAACTACTCTAAAGACAGGACTACATTGTACTGTTTCCTTAAGCATTTCACTGCCATACTGGGTTTCTCAGAAGTAACTGTATTAGTATAAAAAATTACAGAATTAAAGTAGTTTAATCATGGAACAATAAACTAGAAACAGAATTTTTTTTACACAAACATAAAACATGCAATTAAGTTGAAATAATGTGTAAAAAGCACAATTTAGGTGCCAGAAATGCAATGAAACTCAGAAAGTAGTCTTGTTTTCTGTACCAAAAATATATAATGACATTACCTTATTGATGCACATTTAAAGAATCTATCCTGAGTTTTCCATGTATCTGGGATTAGTTTCAGTAATGTGGAACATACTTATTGGAAGATTGGATTTTGCTCTTTGTATAGGTGTCCAGCATGATTTCTAACAAGTTTTGAATTTGTTGATAGTCATGAGCAAGCCTGCATGATGCTCAGCTGTGTGAACTATTTTAGTTGTCTTAACATTTGCATGATGATGACCATGTAATAAAACATTGCCTTGATGTGTCAATGTGCCTGCTGCATGCTGTGTGTCCAAGAAGTATGGAATTTGAGGTTTTTGTTGGAAGAATTTAAAAACTACTTGACTGATCAATCAACTCTCTTCATTGTTCAGTGAGTTCACTCAAGGCTAAACATCATGGATATTCCCAGCTGATCCTTGGTCCTAAAAAGAGAAATACCTGCACATTGTGAAGAAGAAATACTTTTTGAATGTTGAAGAGATTAAAGAGCAGTAATACATTATTTTGTTGTTGTAAACCATGTTGTTACATGTAAGCATATCCACCATCAATATTTTATCTCAACTCTGGATTGAAATCACTTATACTGCATTCTGTCTCTGGTGATACATTTTAGGCTTAAGGTTATTATTTAATCTTATATTGTTTGTAAGTGCATTTTATTTTTCTGCTCTATTAAGAAAATCTAAACCAAAACAGTGATACCACTTTGTGGGTAATTTAAATTCTGGCATAAAAATGATGATTGTATCCTCTCTCTGTTAAGCTGAAGATTTCACCATCTTTGTTAATTTCATACATCCAGGTTTGACATTTGAACAATATTACATCCTCTGTTTTAGCTTATTGACTGTTACGTATGTTTCATCCAATGATAATTTTTATGTACATGTTTTGTTTTCTTTGATGTGTGTATGTTGCAGTAAAATCTTATACTGATGTTGCTTAAGTTGTTTTGATTTAGGTCAGAAATTATGTTTTTAGATAATAAACAGTTATTTTCATATGTTTTGCTATCTGGTTCAGTCTTTCATAAAATATTTGTTTATTAGTGCTTGTGATATGTAATTTTTGCACCAAGAAGTATGAAGACTGACTCTGGATTGAATGTTGACATTTTACGAGTTTTATTGTTCGCAATACAGTTAACTTCAGAATACCATGGAATACTTATATAGTAGTGAATCTTATGTTTTCTCATTTTATGCTGCTGTTATTTTACATCTGTCAGTTTTATAGTTTAATCCATTGACTGCTGATTCATTGTATAGGGTACAGTCTGCCTCCAGCAGTTAAATGCGAGTGTGCCGTATATGGTGTACAGCTTGCAAAAATTCCATGCATACTTGAAGTAGCCACAGTCAGTGGGTTAATCATTGATTACCTTGGTAGGGATGTTAATCTCCAAAGCTAATTATTTCTTACTGCTTTGTTCAAAACATAAGTTATTTATAATGGCTGGAGATGGCTTGAATAGGTAATGAAGAAAAACTTTAATATAAGTTTTTCTTCATTATCCATTCAAGCCGTCTCCAGCCATTATTAGTCTCAAAGTGGGTTCCCCGTCATCGAATAAGTTATCTATATTTTGTGGTTTTGCCCAATTTCCAAATAGTGATTTTTTTTTATATTTTACTAGCTCTCTGTGTTTTGAATGTCCTAGTTTTATAATAAATACTTCATAAAATCTAATTTTTCTGGATGTTTCATGTCAACTAAATATATTTGGATTCACATTATTTTTATTGACTTTCAGTGACAGTTTATCATATGTTGACTAACAACTGTATGTGATTGAGTATATTTACTTTATTTCTTTATTTATTGTGTTTTTAAAATTTTATATTAGTATAGAGTTACTTTCAAGCGCTCCAGTTTTTGTAGAAAAAACTGCCTCATTATATTGATGCACTTGCAAAGTCACACAAGTAATAGTAACTTTGAGCTTATTGTGAACACAACTAATTAACTTTACATCCGATTAGATTATATTTGAAGAAAAAAAGAAAAGTAAAAACCGTGGA